GGTTCTTCATCTAGAATCTCACTAGCAGAGATTAAGGCATAAGCTATAAGATCTGCATACCCAAGTCTCTGAGGTGGCTTGATGACTCTCCTCGACCTGTCTCTTTCGCCGACATGGCCCAATCTCATGTGCCATAATTTTGTCTTCGACATAATTTTCGTGGATGCAACATTTGTTGAACCACTTACAACCTCAGCCTCAAGGGTATACAAGCCTTGTTTCTTCACGCCTCTCAAGACTTCCTTCGACCCCTTCATGACTCTTAGGATACTTTTCTCTCCTTGAAAAACGTATCCTTTTCTGTCGAATTCACCAAGAGAAATAAAATTTCTCTTCAAGTCAGGTACGTACCTGACTTCAGTCAATAACCTTATTGACTCATCATGGAGCTTGAATCTCACAGATCCAATACCTGCAACTTTGCAAGATTTGTTGTTTCCCAACAGCACAGATCCACCATCTTGATCACATAGCTCCTCGAACAATTCTCTGTTTGGAGTCATGTGCCAAGTGCAACCTGAATCCATAATCCACTCTTTCCTCGAGTCGCCACTTGAAACCACAAGAACATCAGACGAGTCGAAGTCATCTTGAACAATGGCTGCATTGCCATTACCTCCGTGATCTTTCAGGCGTTCAAGGCACACCTTTCTTATGTGACCCTCCTTCTTACAGTGATAACATCGAATACTAGATGTTTCGCCACTATAAGACTTCTGTTGACTTTTACCTTTCTTCTTGTCGATCTTACTATCCTTTTGCAAGAATTTTCCCTTAACGGCCAAACCTTCGCCCACCGTCGAAGGTTTATGCTCCTTTCGTTCGTTCAAGTCCTTAGAATACAAGGCTGGTTGAACTTCTTCAAAGGTTAGGGACTCCCTTCCATACAAGAGAGTTTCTTTGAAGTGAGCATGTGTTCTGGGCAAAGCACACAGCAGCAACAGTGCTTGATCTTCATCATCGATCTTCACATCAATATTTTCAAGATCAAGAATCAGCTTATTGAACATATCCAACTGCTTAGCCAACACTTTGTCTTCACTCATCTTGAATGAATATAAAGCTTGCTTCAGGTAGAGTCGATTCACCAGAGATTTGGTCATGTACAAACTTTCAAGTTTCACCCATAATCCCGATGATGTAGTCTCCTTTGATACCTGTCAAAGAACCTTATCACCAAGGCTCAATAATATTGCATTGTGGGCTTTCTCGATCGTGCCTGTCTTTTCTTTTGCCGTTAACACAACGTCCATGGCTGCCTCACCCTTCAACGCTTCCAAACAACCCTGCTGAACCAACAGGGTTTTCATCTTCAAGTGCCACAGACCGAAGTCATTCACTCCGGTGAACTTTTCAATCTCATACTTTGTTGAAGGCATCTTCTCCACACTCACCGCACCAATTTGTTGTGAATCGGAGACCTTTAAACAAATTATAAACAGTTTCTTAATAATCAAGAAACTCACAAGGGTTAGGGTTAATAAAGAAGAAAACAATAAAGATTGGTTATTAAACTGCTATTCTTTCCTTTCTCTTAGAACAAGATTACAAGTATACAAGAATAACAAAATAACCTCTCTCTCTTGAAATTAGGATTTTATCTTCCTATTTTTTCTTATTCCAAGATTGAGAAACTAGCATCCTATTTATAATAAAATAGCACACTAACCTAATGAGTCTTTTAACAATTACCCATTACAAGCTAACTTAGGGTACAAGCTAACTTAAATAATTGGGCTTACAGGCAAGACCCAATTCAACATGCTAACAACCCTAGCAATATTGACTAATGCATGTTAGAACAGACTTCGACTACAACATGCATTACTTGCGAAAAGACTTCGACCATACTAGAGTTTGACCCAACATCTCACAGTAATCTTCAGAGCCGTGAGATGGAGCTCAATGGAGATGAACCTGACAGAAAGTCAAAATCTTCTGTTGCTAAAATTGCAAAGGCTCCTAGAATTTAGGAATATGAAGAAACTTCTCATGCAGAAGGTTCTGAAGATGACTCAAATGATGGGGAATTGATCTTCATCATTAAAAGGTTTCAATATTTGGCCAGGAAGAACAAGATATTCTCTGGTAGAAGCATTGACGTTAGAGGATCTGGCTCCAAAGAAAAGAAGGATGATCAGAAAGGATGCTTCAATTGCAGGCATTATTGAGTGATTTACTGGTCTTCATTGATTATATTGACCCGCCTTTAAGGCACCAGGTACTTCAGAACTAGGTATAGTCTGGAAGTGCCCCCCTAGTGTGTTGATGGCAGGTCTCCCAAGGATGATGTTGAATGGTGATAGGGCTCCCACAATGAGGAAGTTGACGTTAACCGCCTTAGCATTCACGCCCGTGCCACATACGTTCTATAAGGTCACGTGGCCCTTCACTTGTACTTGTTCGCCCGACAATCATATTAGTGAGCCATTGAATACTTTGACGTTGCTAGAGTCGAGTTATAATTTCTTAGAAGCATCCTAGAATAAGACATCAACAAATCTACCATGATCTATCAAGACTTGCTTGATATCTCAGTTGTCATGTTACACCGTAATGACCACGGGTGGTAATCGTGAGTGTTGACTTTGATGACGTTCTTGTCGAAAAATGTAATGTTAACTCTTGTTTTCCCTCGCACGCCCCTGGGTAAACCGAGGGATATTACGTTTGCTGTAAGCACCTGCCTTGCGTATTTCTTACGGGTGTAGTTAAAGCTACCTCCACCAACGAACCCCCTGACTATGGTGTTGGTGTTAAAATGTAGAGCTTTGTGTGTCATCTTCAAATGGAAGATGGAAGAAGTTAAAGTGAACGACTGTGACCCAGATTAGTTTTACCGGGCCCCTGCGGTGAGTGCCACTGTAATGGTCAAATAGTACAAGTATTCATGTCACCCATGCAAAGGGCAGGGATGCTCAGAGAACTTAATATGTCTATTGCACTATATCGTGGTTAGGGCTTGTCCACAGCGATGAAAAGTCATGCACAATGGTGATTTGTGGTGGTTTTGAGAGCCTTCTCACGTGAGGTGAGAGACCTTGTGTATGTGTTAGCTGCTTGTGTATAAGCATACGTAGGCTGTTGTTATTCTCCTATTGGAGCGAGTTATTTATAGAGGCTTTGGACCTATGGTTTACTTAGGAAGGGTCCTCGCCCACCTAGTCATTGGAAGACCGTTGAATCCCTATTTTTAAGAAAGTCGTGAGTCAATTATTGACCATAACTTCTCTCTGTCCCAAAAATGTCTTATCCTAAGTTTCTTATGAGTGGGTGATAAGGAGGCTTTGATGGGCGAGGCGATATCTCCATAAGCGATACATGATCGTCGCCCGCTCTTGAGGCGGCCTATAATCGTCGCTTTAACTAGGTTCTTCACAAACATGACACTACAAACCTCAAAAAAAATTCCCAGAATTCAAATTATTCATGTCCGTCATAGTACTGAAGAACACATTTCTCTTTGTAAAAACATTATCTTCCCTCATGTCTTCTTAGTACTTATTCAATAGTACTAAAACTTTGGTTGCTTGACATTTAACTACTGCTGTAAATCTTTGCCATTTTCAAAATTTAAAATGAAGAGAATCTGGTTAAGAATAGTTCTTGATACAAATTTAATAATTTAATAATAAGATAAATAGGTTGGAGAAAGTTGAAGAAGAATGATTTTAATTTTTTAAAACTAACCTCAAAAATTCTCCACTGCAAACAGAGTTGCTTTCAAAGATAGAGAAATACATGTTTTATTGAGGCTTGTTGGCTCAATGTGTGCAATTTCTGTGAATTAGATTCCCACGTAAAAACAAAAACAAGTTAATGTTTTTGGTCAAAATGTAACATAAAAAACAAAAATAATTTCGAGTACTTTAGTTAAGAGCATGACTGTCTTTAAGTGCGTGTTAGGCGGACTATTACACAAACAATTCAACTCCACTAGTAATCTTGGATTGTTGTTTGATTGTCATCAAAGAGATGGATTAGGCATTGGCCTAATTTCAAACCAGCAACTACGTTATAACAAGGCTTGTTTTTCCGCAAAACAAAAGAGCATAACTTCATTTTATGTTTCAATTCTTGTAGCTAAGAAAAATTAGACTTACTTGTTTTGTATTAAAAAACTCAAGCGATGGTAGCGTGCGCTATTAGCAAAAGTCAAAATCTTCCTCCTATTATTTGTAAAACTAGTCTTCCAAATAAATTATTTGTTTCACATTAGAAGATGATGCAACGTGGAATGCGGAAAACATACATTAATACTATCATGTGACTTTTATCAATTTAAAACTTGATAAACCACAAAGGAATCATGGTATATGCTTGGTTGTCGTACCAGATTAAAACTGATCACGAGTCCTATGGTGATAGGACGACATTAAATTAGTTTATAGTATAAATATATCTGCTTCTCAATCAGTTATCTGCATCCATAATAATATTATTAGCTACTCCATAAATTGAAACTGGTTAGTTCCTCTCTCACTTTTTTATGTATCATATCAACTAGTATTATAATATGTAAAGTTATAGCACCTCTTCAATTTGCGTTTAGTTAGTTTGTTTTACTTTTTACATGCAGACATCACATCATGAGTGTCGGTAAAGCTAAGGCAGAAGAATTGAAAATTAACATGTTATCTTTTTCATGGTCAAATTCAGTGTCTCACTCTATTTTCCTTGAGAGTTCATATGAAAACTACTTCCTTTGAAAATTTGTCACGTAACGCCATTTTCAATTTGAATAATTAAGACTCTCCCTCTTTTTCAAACTACGTGTTTGTTTGGTATTTATTTGTGTTTTTTTCTGACCTTTCAACTTAACAAAATATGTCATGTTGACCTATATTAGTCAAAAGTCTTTGGAGTAACAACAACCAAATATTATTCAAGGAGTTTCTAGTAGTTATTTCGAAAATTCTCACTCTATCTGATCATATATAGTACTAACTTGTAATTCCTTCTTCTGCAAGAATTATAGTTTCTGTACCAAAGATCAAACTATGGCTCGTGAACAGCTAGGAGTTCTAAGTGCTCTTGATTCAGCCAAGACACAATGGTACCATTTCACAGCCATCATAATTGCTGGTATGGGATTTTTCACTGATGCATATGATCTTTTCTGCATACCAAATGTTACAAAATTACTCGGAAGAATATACTACACACACCCGAATTCGCTGAAACCAGGAACTTTGCCTCCGAATGTATCAGCAGCTGTAAATGGTGTTGCACTTTGTGGCACTTTAGCAGGCCAACTTTTCTTTGGTTGGCTTGGGGACAAAATGGGAAGAAAAAAAGTTTATGGTCTAACACTTGCTCTTATGGTGTTCTCTTCACTTGCTTCTGGTCTTTCTTTTGGTCACTCGGCAAAGGGTACAATTGCGACTCTTTGTTTCTTTAGATTCTGGCTTGGTTTTGGTATTGGTGGTGATTACCCTCTTTCTGCTACAATCATGTCTGAGTATGCTAATAAAAAGACGCGTGGCGCGTTTATTGCTTCCGTTTTCGCTATGCAAGGGTTCGGAATTTTGGCTGGTGGAATTGTTTCTCTTGTGGTTTCGACTGCTTTTGATCATGCTTATAAGGCTCCGGCTTATAAGGTGAATGCCGCAGCGTCACTTGTACCAGAAGCTGATTATGTTTGGAGAATTATTCTCATGTTTGGTGCTGTTCCTGCTGGTTTAACTTATTATTGGCGTATGAAAATGCCCGAGACAGCAAGGTACGCGCTTTTTTTCGATAAACAAACGTTACTAAATTAGTAGTATAGATTTATTGAATAACTGATGTATCTGATCTATATATAGGTACACTGCACTTGTTGCTAAGAATGCAAAACAAGCGGCGCAAGACATGTCAATGGTGTTGCAGGTTGAGCTTGAAGCCGAGCAAGAGAAAGTAGAGAAGATAGGTGTGAGAGAACAAAACAGTTTTGGTTTGTTTAGTAAAGAGTTTCTTAGACGACACGGTCTTCATCTGCTTGGAACGACTTCGACCTGGTTTCTTCTTGACATTGCTTATTACAGTTCAAATCTTTTCCAAAAAGATATTTATAGTAGTATTGGTTGGCTTCCACCGGCCGAAGATATGAACGCGATTCACGAAGTTTTCAAGGTTGCTAGAGCGACTACGCTTATAGCACTTTGTGGAACGGTTCCGGGATACTGGTTTACAGTGGCTTTTATTGACATAGTTGGCCGATTCGCAATTCAAATAATGGGATTCTTCTTTATGACCGTGTTCATGTTTGCCCTCGCGCTTCCGTATCATCATTGGACTAAGAAAGAAAACAGAGTTGGGTTTCTTGTTATGTACGCAATGACTTTTTTCTTTGCGAATTTTGGTCCAAACTCAACAACTTTTGTTGTGCCAGCCGAGATTTTTCCGGCTCGGTTGAGATCTACCTGTCATGGAATATCTTCTGCAGCAGGGAAAGCCGGAGCGATTATAGGCGCATTTGGATTCTTGTATGCTTCGCAAAGTAAGGATCCGAAAAAGAGAGACGCAGGGTACCCTGCTGGGATTGGAATGAAGAACACTCTTATTTTGCTTGCTGTGATTAATTGTCTTGGCATATTTTTCACGTTTCTTGTGCCGGAAGCTAACGGAAAATCTTTGGAAGAGATGAGTGGGGAGAATGAAGAAGAAGAAGGTGGTGATTCTGTTGATCCACAAGCCTCTTCTACTAGGACTGTTCCTGTGTGATATATTATTATTACTAATGTTTTTTTAATCAAGAATCTTAGCTTGTTAAGTACGTTTAATGTGCAATTAATCATCATTAGAGTATAGATTATTATAAAAATTGCACAAAAGGTGATATCTATAGTGTGCAAATGTGTGTAACATAAGAAATGGTTTGGTGTGGTGTACCATGTCACAGATTGCCCCTCTAGTGAGATTTTAGTTTGTTATTCCTAATGAATCTAAAAAGAGTACTCACCATTCCTGTCTTTTTCATGTTCATGATAAAGGGATTACACTCTAAAAAAGGACTCGCCATTCCTCTAAAAAAAGTACTCAAATTTCTAAAACAATACCTCCTCTTTTGAGTCTGTACAACATCTTCAAAAGACAAAGAAGTGTTACCAGATAATATACCGCTTACAAAACCACTCGATAGATCTTCCTATCTCAGGATGCTCTTCTGATTCACTTGTCACCAATAGAGAAGAAGACATACCCTCCATAGTTCAGATTCCAAGAAAGATCACAAGGGAAGAATTAACTCAGCTAATTCCCCTTGAATGGATAACCAACTATGAGAAACTTCATGTTGACAAAAGACTTATCCAATCTCAAGAGGCTACTTTCAGGAGATCCGTTGACAAGACAGTCAAGACGATCTTTAAAAAACCAGACGAAGGGTCGAGCTCAATATCTCCGATCTTCCAGACAATGATGATCCAACCAGTTCTCAAAGAAGACTGGTGTCCTGTCTATGCTGTTACAACAGAGGGAAACCCCATCTACACCGATAAAATAGTTGGCCACTTCATTTGAGATGTTGATCCAACAAGATGTGACCCAAATTGTGACGGCTGGATGCACGACGATGATATTGACCGAGATATCATTCTTCCCAAAACAAAGAAAAAGGGAAGGTGTAAACCCTCGCCACCTCCTCAAAGAAGATCTGATCCAGATAACGGTCCATGGGTAGGAATCCATGGAAAAAAGAAACCCCTTTGTATCTATGAGGAAGGACTTAAAATCCTCAGAAAAGAAGGATTGTTACCTCCGGATGATCCGATTTTTGTTACATGGTCACCAACAGACCATTGTAAACCGCTACATCCTCCAGATGTTGCTCAGCCAATTCCTTGCTGTATGTATTCAACCACAACTTCAGAGTACGACCGATAATTTTTTGCTTTAGAAAGAAAGATGGATCTAATCACAGGCAGAACATCCAAACCCTTCATTCATCCGAGTGAAGTCCAGCCCGATGGGAAGCTTAAACCTTTAACTCAGGCTGAGGAAGTTCTGAATTGGCAATCTGAAAACATGGTTTCTCAAAATGAAATTCTTTAAAACCTTGACAAAAAGGTAGATAAGATTGCTGAAAAAATAGACAAGACATATGAAGATCTCAAGGTTTTATCCCAAAAAATGCAGAAACATTACAGAAGCTTGAAAGCCAAGTATCCCAGCTAGATCGGGATTTGCGGCAGATGTTAGAAGAAAGAGCTTTTGGTAAAACATTTGACCAAAAGGAAAGAGAAATCAAAAGTCTACAAAGCCAAGTAAAAGAGATAGATGATTTCTTAAGAGCCTCTCATTAAAGAAAGCCCAAACCGGTTGAAAACTCTTTCTTGGACCCTCCTACTTTTCCTACATATTTCAAACGACTAGAAAGGCCTTCTCCTTTCTACCCCGCCTATGTTTCATCACCATCAGACCCAGTTAAATACATACCAACAGCTTACAGACCAAAATCTTCCAGAACTACCAGTACCTCAACCTCCAATACAAAGGGGAAAGCTGCCTACTTAAGCGCTTCATCCTCAGACTCTCAAGATATCCCTGAAACACCCCCTTCAAAAATCCAAAAAGAAGAATAAATTCCTATTAAAGGTTTCCATGCCATGGCAATCACTACAAATCATGAATCTCCTCTAAAAGATCACTCTGGATCATCAAAACAAAAGGGAGACGAGTCCTTCTCAGATGGTGATAACAACTCTGATCCAGAATCATCTTCTGATGAGACACCAAGATCTTTTTCAACTAAATCAGAATCTGAAGACAACTATTTCCTAAGACTCTTCATTGCGAATGTAAAAGAGGAAGAATCCTTTTTTTTTGAAGAGGAATCACCTGAAGAAACTCCTGTCCCTGAAAGGACTAAACCAAACAGAGGTCTTTGGTTCACTTTTGATGATATACCACCTAGCCGCTGGAAAAAAAGACTACTTGAATTTGGAGCTTGGCTTGACACCCAAATGATGAAAACAAGTGCAGATAGCTATAAAATCATTGAAGAATTTTGTTGTAGAATAACGAGCACAATGAAAGAATAGTATCACAATCTTGGAGCTTTCAAACAAGATGAGTTACACCGTCTAGAAACTACAGCTAGTGTTCTTGGGGTTCTTCACCGAGAATTTATCGGTGATATGGAAATATTTGATAGAAAAAATAGACAAAAATTATTTGAGATGAAGTGTTGTTCTCTCAAAACAAAAGACCTCGACAAACACTATCATAGGATGTCACAGAGGTATTATGTCCTTAATGGGTACAATGACCCAAGTCTCAAGAATGTTAGCCACATCTCAAAAGGATATTAAAATTATGAGTCTCAGACAGATTCACCAGGTGACCTTAGAAGCACTTGAAAAGCTTTGCAGTTTTTATCATCAATTTTCTGAAGTTATAGAACAAAAGTCAAAGTTCATCCAAGCATGTAAGAAACCCTACCTGGAGATTAAGTGTAATGATAAAAGGTGTAGTTGTCCAACAAAAAAGAAATATAAAAAATACGCCAAATCTCACAGGACCTTCAAGGGAAAGAAAAGAAAGAATATGAAGTTCTTTAGAAGAAAGCCTTTCAGAGGAAAGGGGAAAAATCAGAGATGCTTTATTTGTGGGAAAAAAGGGCATTTCTCAAAAGAATGTCCTAATAACACCCATAAAGCCGCAAATTTGATTAACTCTCTTCAACCTCTAGAAGGAGACTTAGAATCTTTGTATTCTGAACAAAGCGCTGCTGATGAAGAAACAATTTTTACCCTTCAAGACTCTTCGTCTGATGAAGCATTATTTTCAGAGTCAGAAGATGAAAGATATATCCCGGTTTACTCCATCAAAGAGATATGCAGTTCTCTTCCTACTACACCACTTCCTTGTGTTGAAATCCTTGTTCTCGCAACAAAGTTTTCCCGTCCAAAGAAAGTTATAACTTATATGGACACTGGGGCCCAGATTACCATGATGAATCCCAGCATTCTCCCTGCAGAAACATGGGTGACACATGCTGCATACTTTGTAGCAGTGGATGGAAACATTTTCAAGACAAATCTAATGACCAAGGAGAAAATAGGAATTAAATTCTTCCCAGACTGCATAGTCTGGACCAAGGTCATTGGCAGTAATATTCCAAGCAAAGATATTGTAGTAGGAATGGATGTCTATTCAGCAACAATTAAACTCCAAATTCTCCCCACAGGAATCAAATTCAAAATAGAATTCAAACCTTATTCTGGGATACTGAAACTATATTCACTTTCTAAGGTTCCTGCTGGCTATGAAGAGATCAAGTCCAACCATGCAGACTATGTGCATATAGCCATGAAACATTCTGCCACCCAAAACCTCTATGGAAGAATAAAGACTTCTTCGTTCAACTTACCTTCAAGCTTAATGAATATGTTAATTCCAACCAAGGCCACTCATCCATGGATGAGCCCATCAGATTACGCATTAGCTAGGAAAGAATGCAACCAACTGCTCAAACAAGGTCTGATAGGACCCACCAAATCAGAATGGGCTTGCGAATCATTCTATGTGGAAAAGAGATATGAAACGTTGAGGGGAAAAAAGAGGCTAGTAATTGATTACAAACCTCTAAATCATTTTCTCAAAGATGATAAATTTCCCATTCCAAAAGCCTCGTCCTTAAATGTTTTCATCAAAGATGCCCAAATCTATTCTAAGTGTGACCTTAAGTCAGGATTTTGGCAATTGGGTATCGACCCTGAAGATCGCTATAAAACGGCATTTTGCATTCCTAACGCCCAGTACCAATGGACCGTGTTACCATTTGGGCTTAAGGTAGCCCCATCACTCTTTCAAAAAGCCATGACTAGAATTTTTGAGCCCATCTTCAACAATATCCTCATCTATATTAATGATGTGTTATTGTTCTCAAAAGATGAAAAAACCCATAAACAATTATTGGGCCAATTTCTTCAAATAGCCCAACGGCATGGAACGATGCTCTCTAAAAAGAAAAGTCAATTGGGACAAACAGAAATTGATTTCCTAGGGATGCATTTCTCCCGAGGGAAATATCAACCTCAACCTCATATTGCCCGAGAACTATTAAACTTTCCTGATGAAAATCTCACAGTTAAGCAAATCCAACAATTTCTTGGTATAATTAATTATATCCGAGATTTCCTGCCAAAACTGGCGAGATACACGAGTCCTCTATCCCAAATGCTAAAGAAAAAACCTCCACCATGGGGAACACAACAAACCGAAGCAGTGAAAGCCTTAAAAAAGATCACATAAACTCCTCATGCTCTAAAAATCCCTGGGAATGGAAAAATAATTCTACAGACCGATGCTAGTGATCATTATTAGGGAGCAGTCCTGATAGAAGAAATTGAAGGAAAAAGATACTATTGTGGCCATGCCATTGGCCAATTTAAAGAAGCTGAAAAACACTACCACACCACCTACAAAGATGGGGATCCAAAATTTTGACTTCCACCTAAGAGGCTACCAATTTGAAGTCCAGATGGACAACTCCTCTTTCCCTAAGATCCTTGAATTCAAAAATAAGATGCCTCCCGATCCTCAAACTCTTACGCTCAAAGATTGGTTTTCTAGATATGATTTCTCAGTAAAACATATCAAGGGAACCCAAAATGTAATCCCAAACCTACTATCCAAACTAATGAAACCCATCCAGATCATCACAGCCAAGCACACTTTCCCTCTAATTCTTATGGTCAAAACACTACCAACCCATGCATCCAAAACAAAGAATCTTCCTCCAGGAATAACGATATCCTCTTCACCGTCCCAACTCAAGCAGTATGCCAGGAACGACATTTTCTATTACATGAAAAAAACCATAAGGAACAAATTACCGAATCATAGTCCTTATTTTCCATATACACCTTTTCTCCTGCCAATTTTAATAAACCCAAATGCTAAATTCACAAAAAACCATTTATGGTATATTTGGTGTGCCACTTGTTTGTACTACATGCCTGTTCTTATTCCTACTGAGGCCATGTATCAGCATATAATGGATCCCGAGAAGCACAAGTCTTTGATTTGGACCACTCTTGAATGGTATTCTCCATTACAATGGTGGAGAGATCAATTAAAACCAGTCAGAGAATGAAGATTACCTTCAGAAGATATTGGAAAACTCAAGTCTGTTTTCTTTCTACATAGGCCCTATCTCACATATCCTGTAACTAAGTTGCTCAATTATAAGAGTTATGTTCACCTATGGGAAACCATTGATGAATATCCTACCAGTCTAAAAGTCACAAGGGAATTATTGGAATATGTTAACTACATCAATCTCTATGATCCAAAGAAACTTGATAAAAGTTCAACTTGCATACATCATGAAAAGTTCATAAGACCGGAAGTTGGAGAAAGCTCGACTCAAGCCACACAACAGAAACCAGATTCTCCAATGGAAGCTGAATTCTTTGAAGGATAAGTGGAAGAAGCTAATATGAGATTAGCATATCACACCTACATGATGGATGATAGCTGGCAGCATGAGTCATCTCGCTATGAAGATTGCTTTTCTGATGAAAATTTATCTAATCAAAATATGTCCCCCTCTCATGAACCCATTTGCAAAGAATAAATGGACAAGTGTCCTTCAAAGATCACAAGCATGCTTATGAATAGTAAATTTTTGTCTTTTTGTGCAATAAGACTACAATAATGTAATCCATTAGAGATAAGTGTGTCAGACTTTTAAAAAAGGCATTCATATAATATTATAAATGCCATGCTTGTAAATAGTGTTGCTTTTGTCCTATATGTACCTCATTGGCTATAAAATGAGGGCTCTTGTAACATATTTTCATCAAGCATTCACAAATAAACTCTCTTGTGTGCTTAAGAAGAAACATGTTATAAAAATCTCTTTTTTCCCCCTCAAAGATTTAGTTATTGTATTCATATCATAATTCTCCCATAGATGCAAGTATGCTCTACACCTGCCTCTAAATGAGGATCTTGTGTATCAGAAAACATCTGACCATTGATCCATACTATGGTCCTTGTTGTTATGAATTTCAGTTTTAATTGTTAGTCCGTATTATGTCTATGGTTGGCTATTTGAGGACGATACAGTTAAGGCTGAGTTTCATGGCATGTAAGGCTCCCAGACAGTGTGGTATCAGAGCCTAACAGAATAAAAGGGGTGCATATGGTATGAATATAATAAAGAGAGTGAGTAAGGGAGAAATCACTTAAACATGGAAATCACTTTTAAAAAATGTAACTATTATTGTATTAGAAATTTAAAATAAAAAGTGTTATATCTCGTAAATAGAACAATAGTAAATGCATGGGGAAGTACTGTCAAATATTTTCACTTGCTATCATTACTTAATAACTTTATTGCATTGAGTCAAATAAAGAAGGATTTGTCATGTGCTTCCTCTCTCAAATTATAAGTTATTTTGTAAAAAAAAAAAATTGTCCTAAATTATAAATCACTTTCCAATTCAAATACAATATTAATGATAAATTTTCGAATATATCCTCTATTATTTATTATTATTTCTTCTTTTAATTTTTTAACTTTCTCTTTCATACATAATAAATGAAAACAAGATTGTAAATTCATACATAATTTCTCTTTCCGGTACAATATTAATTACGTTTCTTAATTAGTGTGAAATGCTCACAATATCTTATAATTTGGACAAAGATAATACTCCTTTCGTTCCTTGTTCCTTTTTAAGTATCATTTTTTTTACTTTATACACGAATCAAGAAAGCTAATGAGTTTTGTTACTTTTCAAACAATAATTCTTCTTTTACCTATAATATCCCTTAATTATTTAATACATTCATTTTACTTTTTCTCTCTCTGTAATAAATGTAATTGTGACAAAAAAATTATTAAGAAAGTAACACTTAAAAAGAAATGAAGGGAGTATTACTTTTGAATGAAGATGAACATGTGACTTATCAAGGGGCCATTAATGGACCTAGACCTCATAAATGCCTAGAGGCTATGAAATTTAAAATAGATTCCATGTACACTAATAAAGTATAGAATTTGGTAGAGCCATCTAAAGGGATTAACCTGATAGCTAAGGTGCAAGTGGATCTTCAAAAACAAGATCGATGTGGATGGTAAGGTGAGTAAGTTAAATGAATGAAGTTTGAATTTAAATTGTGTATTTGAGAAATGAAACAGTTCCCCCTTTATATAATGGAGCGGTTATAACAACCTGTTAATCTTCAGGCGTGAGATACGGAGAGCTGTTGGATGGATCCTGGATTCATATCTCCTATGCTCTACCCCAGAATAATGTTCTTATCTAGCGAATAACATAACAAATTATTACTTTCTCTAGGCCCTGACTGCATTGTCTTTTGGCCGACCCATAATAGAAAGTAAGTTGGAATGACAGTTGATCTATCTTTACTTGAATTCTGAAATTTTGAAGTTTGTTTTTCGTGTATTAGGAGTTATTTGAATTTGTTAAACATGAGATACATGTCTTCGTCACTTTCACTTTGGTAGTCTTTATCTTGTCACTCCATGTCCTTTGCCTCTATAAACAAGGCTTTTTTTGTTGTCTTCTTTTTGTTGCCTTCTTCATTCGGTAGTACCTTCATGGGTAAGTTGAATGGTGTCCCGTATTTCTTTTACAAAATTACAATGTAAAACATGCAAGCTCATCCATACCTAAAGTAATAGTGATTATTATTTTTGCTTTCAAATTGTAATGCATTTTTTCCTTATCCTCCTCTCGTCTATTTTGTCAGCATGTGCATGAGCATAAGCATGAGCATTGGCATACTCATTGCATTTGCATTTTCATACACATTTTCATACGCATTAGCATCTGCATGTTTGTTATTTCCTGTTGTCTTTTGTCGTTGCATTGGCTGTGGTTACCACCGAGTAACTGGGTTTGTCCGTTCTCTCCAAGTAGATTGTCGACCTTAAGCATAAAATACCTATTATTTGCTAGTTTCCCCACAGAGTTCAACCCTCGTGGATGATGGTTATTTCAATTATCTTTTCTGTGCCAGGATAAGATAGTCCCCATTTGAGTTTTTTTCCCTCAATGGAGTCTTGTTTGACAGTTTCTTTCTAGCTCAATCCTATATTGAACTTCGGCCCCTGTCGATCGCCGAACCTACCTGGACGTGCATTTATTTTGCACTATCTTTCAAGAAGAACCTTTTACAGTGCCTCATTGCAAATAAGTGACAGTCTCTCTTGCGAAGCTTATCATGCTTTGCCTCAAGATAAGTGGCAGTCTCTCCGGAGAAGCTTATCATTTCATCAATTTATCTACCAACAACAAGTGGCCATCTCCCTTGAGAAGCTTGTTTACCGTTATCTTGTGCAGATAAGTGGCAGTCTCGCCTGAGAAGCTTATCATTACGACCTTTGCAGATAAGTGGCAGTCTCATTCCGAGAAGCTTATCATGTTTTATCCTTTGTAGATAAGTGGCAGTCTCGCCTGAGAAGCTTATCATTGCTACCTTTGCAGATAAGTGACAGTCTCATTTCAAGAAGCTTATCATTATATCATTGCTCCCCAATTAGCAGCAGTCTCACCCGAGAAGCTTATCACTACCTTTTACAGCACTGATAAGTGGCAGTCTCGCTTGAAAAGCTTATTCCTATTTTCATTTACCAGGAACAAATGGCCATCTCCCTCGAGAAGCTTGTTTCCTTTGCCTTTTTCCAGGTAAGTGGGAGTCTCTCCAGAGAAGCTCATCATTTTATTCGTATCACCAGATAAGTGACAGTCTCCCATGAGAAGCTTATCATTCTTATCTTTTCAGATAAATGGCAGTCTCTTTATTTGAGAAGCTTATCCAGTTTTGGCATGTAAGTCCCTTTCAGCGATAAGTGACAGTCTCTCTCGAGAAGCTTATCAGGGCATTTCCCCCATTGAAGTCCAATTATTATGGCATACAGCGGGTTTTTACCTTGTATATTTTTTGATGGCTCCTAAAGATCTCGTTCGATCTCTTCGCTGAAGGAATTTCCAAAAGCTTGGATGTTATTATTGCCTAAAGACCCCAACATTTTTGTTTACCTGATCCTACCGCCGTGTGGATCCTGTTTTACCTTTTATCCTAGAGTGCCAACCGGGCATGCTTGAACCTGTTGAGTAGCTACTCTTGGATATTTCCCCCAGTGGAGACCGTCTTGCCGGTGCCATCTCCATTGAGGATCTATTTTTGTTTTTCTTTCTAAAGTGACAAATGTTCATGCTTAAACATGTTGGTCCATCACTTTAGATTTCCCAGGTTCCGTGTTGTTTCCCCAG